AGGAACTGGGCGAGAGAGGGGGGAGGAACCGGGTGAGAGCGGGAGAAAAGGGGAAGTGGAAACGGGGAGAGACTGGGGGGAACTGGGGCCAAGGGGGAAGGGAGGACGTGGGAGACACCGGGGGGTGACGCTGGGGGTGACGCTGGGGGTGACGGGGCGACGCTGGGGGTCCGAGTGGGAGGAAATGGCCAAACTCCGGGGTCTGCAGCGTCCTGTCCCTTTCCCGTTGCTGGAGGGGTTTTGGGGCGACTCGTCCCGTGGTCCCCCGCGACCCCCTTCCTCTGCGGTCCCTCCTCCTCCTCCTCCTCCCCGCGCGCGGTCGCGTTGGCGGCGCCGGCCCCGCGCAGCCCCCCGAGCCCCGTSCGCCCCCCCAGTCGTGCCCCCCGGCGCGGCCCGGGCTGCTGCACGTGCACCTGGTGCCCCACACGCACGACGACGTGGGCTGGCTCAAGACCGTCGAGCAGTACTACTACGGAGGTGCCTCGTCCCCACTGTCACCTGGGGCCCCTGCTGTCACGCAGGGCCACCCGGGGGACACCCCACTGTCACCCAGGGCCACCCAGGGGGGGACAGGAGCAGTGTTACTATGAAGGTGCCTCGTCCCTAGGGCCACCCKGGGGACACCCCACTGTCACCYGGGGCCACCCTGGGGACACCTATGGAGGTGCCTCGTCCCCAGCGCCACCCCACTGTCACCAGGGCCACCAGGGAGGTGGGGGCCGGTGCTGACGCGGCCCCTGGGGGGAGGGGGCCAGGCCACCACCGGGGGGGACTTTGTCCCCACGTCCCTGTTGTGGCGACGCTCTTATCTCCCCGAGAGCCACCGAGGCCCTTGTGTCCCCCCTCCCCCCGGTGTCTTGTGTCCCGGTAGATATCGCTGTGAGCGCCCTGTCCCCGCAAGCGTTCCGTGTGTCACTCCAGGTGCTGCCGTCACCCTGAGTGTCCCTGGATGCTGTTGTGGCCCCCCATCTTCCCCACCTCCCCCAGATGTCCCCTGTGTCCCCTGCCTGTTGCTCCTGGGGTCCCCGTTTCCCTTGATGTCCCCATGTCCCCCCAGGTGTTGCTGTGTCCCCCTCGCCCCCACGCCTCTTAGATGTCCCCTAGTGTCCCCAAGGTGCTTTTTGCTCTCCCGGTCCCCGCGTGACACCGCGTCCCCGTCCCCACGCCCCCCCATGGCGCCGTGTCCCCATCCCTGTGTCCCCTATGATGCTGTGTCCCCGTGTGACGCCGCGTCCCCGTCCGTGTCCCCAGCGCGCAACGAGCTGCAGCACGCGGGCGTGCAGTACATCCTGGACTCGGTGGTGGCCGAGCTGGCGGCCGACCCGGCCAAGCGCTTCGTCTACGCCGAGGTGGCCTTCCTGGCGCGCTGGTGGCGGCAGCAGGACGTGGCCACGCGCCGCCTCGTGCGCCAGCTCGTCGAGCAGGGTGCGGGGCGCCGGGGACGCGCGGCGGGGCCTGGGGGAGACGGGGGGACGCTGGGGACACGCGGAGGGGTCTGGGAGCTGGGGGGGTGTGGGGGATGTTTGGGACACGTGGGGCAGCTGTGGGGACACGCGGGACGTTTGGAGGTGTGAGGGGCCCAGGGGAACTCTGGGGACATTGGGAATGTTTGGGGGGAGCTGTAGGGACATGAGGGGCATTGGGAATGTTTTGGGGCAGCCGTGGGGACATGTGGGACATTGGGAATGTTTTGGGGCAGCCGTGGGGACATGTGGGACATTGGGGACATGCGAGGGGCCCAGGGGAGCTCTGGGGGCGTTAGGGACGTGGCGGGAGGAACGTCGTTGCTTCAGAGGGATACAGACACTGGGGACACACAGGGACGTAGCTGGGGGACACAGAGGGGTCCAGAGGGGACACAGATGCTCGTGGCACATGGGGACGTGGGCGCGGGATGGTTTAGAGAAGACACAGTTATTGGGGACACACAGGGATATGGGGCATCCCTGTGGCCTAGGGGATGCCATGGGGACATGTTAGGGATAATGGGGTGGCCCTGGAAGGTGTGGGGTGTCCTGGGAGCTCCGGGGTGTCCCTGGCGTCCCTGGGGTGTCCCTGGGGTGTCCCCGGYGTCTCCGGGGCGTCCCCGGCACCCCCATGGCTGTCACCTCGCCTTGGCCTGTCCCCGCAGGGCGGCTGGAGCTGGTGCTGGGCGGCTGGTGCATGAGCGATGAGGGCGCCGCGCACTACGGCGCCGTGCTGGAGCAGCTGGCGCTGGGGCGGCGCTTCCTGCGGCGGGCCCTGGGGCGCTGCGGGACGCCCCGCGCCGCCTGGCAGCTCGACCCCTTCGGGCACGCGCGCGAGCACGCCGCCATCTTCGCACAGGTGACCTTGGGGACATCCCTGGGGGGCTTGGGGACATCC